GACTGGGTGACAACGTCAGATTACCTTTCATTTGACACTGATATTGTCATATTTTTTATAATTTTACGGAAAGTGTATCTTATCCATTTCTTGTGACCATAGTTTAGGCTATAACTCTGGTACCGGTAGAGGTATCGAAGCAAGACTTAGCTTCAAATGTGCCCCTTCTAAAGTAGATTAGTATGTTAAAATTTGAGAATAATCCGCCATGGTTCGCAGGAGATACAAATTTTGTCGTGCTAGAAGTGAGCTCTGAACCACTGTGCGACGGGAGCTAAACGCACGTATTTCCCTGCATTTTCATCAACATTGTAACAGAAGTTAAACGCAAATAAATTGGTGTAGTAGTTAGTATCAAAACGCGCGTTACGCTACGCGCACATTGCAGCCGGCATCGGCGGAATTGTGCTCGGCCGATATGCGGGCGATATGAACAAATACTTGTGATTATAGGTTCGTTCGCGTAGCTGTTAATTGTTCATGTTTAACCAAAACTTACAAGTTTTTGCGTTCGCGTACGCAAAAAACTTGCAAAGTAGGGGAAATTGAGAGAGCAAACTGAAATTTCATTTTGAGGGGAAGCTGTTGGTTTCTGCTGGAAAAATTTTTGCCAACAGCAATTTGCCAACAAGAAAACAGCTGATCAAAAACAGCTGGTTGGCATTTACGCAAATCACAAAATTGAATTTGATGGTTTGGAAGATAAAAATTACAAAATGCGACTAATTAAACTTGTAAGAAATAAGTAGTTATTTGTTTAATCAATAAACTGTGTCAGTATAACACTTTGCGATGACTTTTCGTACGTTTTAAATTTTACACTTTTGTATGTAAACAAAAATTATATCAGCTGTTCGTCTAACTTGCAAGTTTCTGCAAATTTTCTGTTCGCGTACTATTTTGGATATTTCTCTCTTGTGAGAGTTGGTTGGTTTCTGCTGGAGATTTTAAACGAACGCACCTTATATGAGCACTCTCACACATATACCGATAACCGAACCGACATCGGCCGTTGACGTCCGTCAGTGACGATAAATTCAAACACGTTTGTTTTTCTAGTCCGATGTCAGGTGAAAAGTACCAAAATGGACCGCGAAAAATTAACTTATTGGGTGCAAAAACAAAAAAATTACATATAAAATCACATGTTTATAGTATGTCAATTAAAACGTATCAAAATATGTCACTGCTCACAAAATTGTAATGAAAACAAGATTTATGTGTACAAATACGGTCGGCAAAAAATCTGGTTAAGTGTGCGCATCAATTCGAATTCAGTCGTCCTATCGGATGCAATGTGCGCCTAGCGTTACTCTTCCACTCGAACAGTTGGACCTTGTATACGTCGCATTATATCGACTTTGTCGCCTTCTCGCGGTTTTTGCTGGCAATTAAGCAGCCGATAAGAACAAGGAATAACCATTCCCACGACAGCCGGTTCTGCGTACCGGAATGACTCGGGTTTTACCCGACCAAAGGCGGTTGTTTCTGCGATCTAACCCCGTTTAGATCGGCTATATCCCTCAAAAGTTGTATGTCCATAGGACTACACCTTCTTCGCATACTTCTGCTCAGGGCTGGCATTGAGTCAGAATCCTATACCTGCTATGTATGCCAGAGACGACTACACCACAACTCCACCTCCGTTAGATGCAACACATGTAATGGGTGGCGCCACCTCCGAGTTTGCTCAAGTCTATACGATTCACAGGAATTGGACCACCGAAAACGTAGCCCCCTGCTGCTTAAATCGTGCTGCCTCCAGGCACTACAGAGTCCGCCTGAGCAACTAAACACAAACACAAATGCATCACAACACAATACAATAAACATATTGATAGCTGCGGTCCAAGAAACGAAGTAGCACAGCAATTCAACATTGTTGAATTGTGTCGGGAGATCGCGAGCGAGATAATGGTGGTGGCTTTGCGTTCATCACGCACCACACCGTGTAGTATTTTCTTATTAAAGCAGACATTGACCGTAGGGATACCAGGCTAGAATGTCAGGGCATAGCCATCGGGTCAGGTGATATTGAGCTCGAAATATTTAACGTTTACATACCCCCGGCAGGATATCACCCTTATATAAAAATTTTAAAGTTATGTTACAATATCCGTTTTAATAATATTTCCGAGAAATTAATTTCTATAAGGGCCAAATTTACAGTGCGTATTTAACTCTGAATCGGTAGTTAACTACAGATTTTTGTACTGAATTTGGTCCTAAATGAATATATTTTTATGTTTTGTTAACCATACATGAACTTCCAAGTATTAAGCAAATTTTTACGTTTTACCAACGATCACATAAAAACAGTAAAGTTTGTTTTTCATAATAATGTATGTCAGTGTTGCCACGAGCACATTTTTTTTCCTACCAAAATTTTTTGAATTTTTTAAATGGTTTATGCAATGCCAAGTTTATTAAAAATGCAGATAACATAACATTTAGTAAAACGAAAACAGCTAGTACAACAAAAATAAATTAACTACGTATAACAATGAATTTTACTGTACAGACTTACACACATGTTTGTCTCTTTACACATACATATTATTATTATTATTACCTCGGAGATACTCGCGCTGCGACCTAAGAAGATCTATTGTGATTAACCTTATTTGTAATGACTCCAACCTTAGGCTATGTAAGAAGTTATGCACTCACAAAAGGCTATGGACCATGAAAGCGCATTTAAGCTCCAGGCTTTGGTTGCCTTCAAACCCTTCATGTCCCGAAACCCACCACAGCATTACGCTGTTGTGGGCCTCCAAGTGGTTCAAAATAGTTTTAGACCTGTCCACACGCCTGATGCTATTTTAACAGAGTCTAAGGCCTTTGACATGCCTGACTATTCGACATTATATTTATTTGTTTAATATATTTATTTCTCGTCGTCCACCTTTGATCCGTCGGTATACCATACTTGGGACCCTTCGTCACAGTTGTTAATCCTTCTCAGCAGTCCTTTTCAAGCATTCTGACCTTGTAGGGTTTGTAGAAGGATAACACGGGATTATCCTGGAATGCCTTTAGAATGACCCAGAAAATCTCCAAATTTCTTACTGATTATACTGGGCAGTCGTAGGGCGCTCCAGCAGACCTCTTTTTCAAATAGAATGGACAAAGGAGGAATGCCTGTAATGGCATAAAGGGCATCTGTTGGACAGGTGCCCATATCTCCTGTGATGGCCACTCGGA